CTTCCTTCCTTCCTTCCTTCCTTCCTGCATGGCACATTTCAGTCTAAGCATAAATCCTCGCCATTGAAGCATAGATGGAAGTGTACTCTCGATGTGATTATAGACGACTGCAATTTTCACTGGTCTAATGTTTATTTCTTTTTTGTTACTTTAGATGAATAAAACGATATCCAAAGCAATGCTTGAGTTCATGAACCGCAGTCCAGCTACCATCGCTGTAGAGACAAGTATTGTACTCCTTATTGGACTGATTGCCATTGGAGGAAATCTTCTGGTAGTAATCTCCATCTATCGTAATCCCAGCCTTCGTACCATCACTAACTACTTCGTACTCTCGCTCGCTGCGACTGATGTTTTGTATCCAGCAGTAGGACTGCCTCCTTCTCTAATTTGGTCTATTATGAGTCGTTTTACTTTTGAGCAAAACGTATGTACCTTTCAAGCCGTGTGTACACTTGCTTTGTCCTACGTTTCCATCTGTATGATAGTGTTAATGGCAATCAATCGGTTTGTTCGCGTTTGTAAGCCACAGAAATACAAGAAAGTGTTCAACAAGATCACATCTCTTGTGATGATCACTTTTGTGTGGGTAGTCAGTTTTATAGTAGTGACTTTAAGTATAGCAAATGGAGACAGTCTTTACCTGGCTCGCTTCGTTCCCTCGCAAATAAGATGTGGTATTGTTTACGACATGCGAAACACATTCGCGATGACGGTTGCAACTACGTTCAATGTGATTTCCGTGTTGTTGCCCATCGGCATCATCGTCTACTGCTACTTCAAAGTCTTCAAGAAAATCCGAGAACACAAGAGAAACATTGCTCCTGCCTCCAATCCAAACAGCCTGGGCACGAGTGTACAAGAAATCAAGGTCACGTGGACCATGTTCGCAGTTTTGATTGGGTTTTGCTCGACATGGATTCCAGCGGTTATTATACTTATCTCTAACAATRCTTGTGACTTTTTCAAATGCAMWGTACCTCGCCAGGCTAATATGGTACTACCATTTGCAGCACTGGGCAGCTCTGCCATCAATCCTGTGATATATGGAGCAATGAACACTGCATTCAGGAGAGAGTATATAAAGATCCTTCGCTGTAGGAAAATAAATGCAGACCGAAATTAAAACAAAAACAAAGACGGAAACTACTAAGTTTCTTCTAGCTGAACCAAGTTTCGTGTAGAACCTTATTTTGCGTTTTAGATGAATGCAATTAGCACCTTATGGAGAATGCTTGAATTTCCTAAAACCACTTGATTCGATAGAATATGTTGTCAGCTAGCGTTACATTGTAACGAAGAAAAGACTTTAAGAAGAATGGATATTGGTACAAAGACTGAATACATGCATACAATACATACATACACACACACACACACACACACACACACACACACACACACACACACACACACATACATACATACGTACGTACATACATACATATTCAATATTCTGTCAGCAGGGGCACAATACGACCTCACCTTAGTAAAATTGCTAAAGGGGGAGAGTACCTCCGCTGGCAGAGTATAATATATATATTTAGGCACTGCCTAAAAGCGGAGCTCCCGATACGGAAGTCACAGGGAGAACAATTTGAATGAAACTGAAAGGTAAAAATAAGATCGGGGGAAAAAATCTTCAAATATTTTTTATTCGAAATGATGATAATTTCTCCCATAATAAAAACCATGCAGTGAAATCGAATCGAAATGCACTACATCGTTTTTTTTGTTTTTTGTTGTTGTTGTTGTTTTTTTGTTTTTTTGTTTTTTTTGCGCGAGCATTCCCTCCCACTTAGGAATTTTGTACACAACTCACCATCACCCCCAGGGGCTAGTTTTGTTCTTGGAAGATTCTTCGACAAAGTTTTCCAAAGTTTTTTTTACTTAAAAAAACGAAAGCTAACTACAGATAATCCAATACAATATCAAGTTTAGTGAAATTTACCTCGTATGTCTTTCATTGAAATCGAAAATCTGGAGATTTAGGACAAATCAAGAC